ATAAATTCCTTTTAGATCTGTTTGGTAATAATGTTCGACTCCGACTTCGACTCGACTTCGTTCTCGAGTCTGAACGTGCGATATAGGTTCAATTTCGAGTAATAAAACGACAGCCGTGCAATCGAACGAGGCTGTATGCTGAGGTCTATTCCAATGTTATATTCAGCTGGCGTGACGAATTGTTCGGTCCGGTCGCGTGCGTGGTCTCCGTCAGTCGCGTTCGGCGCCGATCGTGTTCGACTGTCAATTGGTCTGCGCTGCAGGACCGCCGGACGGCTGAGGCCCAAGTCTCTGGCCCGACCTGTGCGGGCCGATCGGGGACCCGGCGCCGGCCCGGCCAGGGCTGATTTGTTCACTGTAAATCTGAGTATGTTGATCTGCGCAGCGCTGATAAGGAGGCCGAATTGCGTCCGGTCGGTGCGGCGTTATCTCGTCCGTGCTAACAGCCGAGCTCAACTCCCCACTCAGAGCACGATCCGATATACACATCTGCGGTCTTGGCATGTCTGGGTCATGTCATTATCAGATTGACGCCTAAATTAGCGACGATCGGACAGATAACGACCCGTAAAGTTTCCAGGATCGGGTCTTTTATCTACTGTTGAGTGTGAACATGTTTTGGATTGATTGGCAGGCGCCTCGTCGTTTGAATGGCCTGCTCGGTTTGAGTGTTTTCAGGATGATGTTTTCCTAGGAAACAAGGCTGTCGTATCGGTTTACCTTCGCGAGGATTGTTTGGGACATTCGGTATCGAATAGCGTTCAGGCGATATGTTATGATGTCCAACAGATCTGACGCAGTCGATCATGTATTTTAAGGCAAAGCAAGTAGTTCTCCGAGAAAGTCATACGAGCTGATAAATGACAGTCCCTGGAAAATGAGTTCTGTGTTTTTCAAATTATTGTTCATTTTAAATTTGAATTACTGTGGCACCTTTCATCCCCCACACTTCTCGGACGTAACCCCAGCATAAGAGTTCAACACGCACCCCATTGTGGCACGTGCAGGTCGCCTCATCAACACGTGCCATCCTGAGACGAGAACTCGAGCTGTCCTGGCGGTCGCCATCTGACAGTGGTCGTCGCTCCTGGAGCACCTTTGGATCGGATTGGCAATTGGAGCTACTGCGCTGGCAGTGACCCTGGGGCACCTCCGTCGCATGGACTGGCGACTGGAGCTGCCCTGGTGATCGCCATTCGATTCAGGTCGCCATTCCTGGGGCACCTCTTGGCCACATGGACCGGCGTTCGGAGCTATTAGTAAAGTAATCTCGGCTGGTGCTGCGCTGGTGGCGGCCCTGGCCGCCACCTGACCCTGGCCGGCCGACATTCCGGGCGGCGCGGGTCACAGATCACACGCCGCCGACGGCTGTGGTTTGACTGCGGTCTGTCCGCGGCTGTGGCGAGCCGCAGCGGCCGTCGTGCCGTGCCCAGGCTATGTTTCTTGGTGGGAGAGCGTGGGCGGCACTGGCAGACAATGCATTGGATGCTGGTGGTTTGAAGAGGAACGGTCGGCCACAGAGACGCGCGGACGAAGTATCTTTTGCCTGTCGTGTCCACGTTGACTCGCGGCCACCCTCCCCCATCCCAGCCCCACCATTTGGCACGGCGCACCGTCTGATGAGACCAGGATAGCTCGGCCGCCGGCTGCCGACGCGCCGGTGCCTCCGCTGTTGCCGATTGTGGCGCAGCCAGCACCGTTGTGATGCACTCCACGCGCCGTCGGCGGCGGATGGCGCAGCGTCCGCGCCGGAGCTGACGCGCTGACAGCCACTTCCGCCGGAAGGATGAGGCTTCCCGCTTGGCGGCGACGGCGGTTGCGGCATCTCTGAGGACGGGAGTAATGGGTGCACTGCTAGAGAGCGGCGGCCGTAGTAAAGGAAGTCTGTGTCTTGTTCGCAAACGCTACACAAAAATGACGACGCAATGAAAGGCAAATTCGTAGTGAACGAGGTAATTCGTCAAATGCTTCGTCCGAGGCAGATAGCGGTTACGGTAGTCTGCTTTTCTCCCAACCGGCGGGATCGGGTGGGTAGGAGCGCCAAGTGGGCCAGACCGACCCACCTGCTCGGGTTGACTGACTGGGGCTGCCTGTAGACGTGTAGACCTGTCAGGTCGGCCTGCAGTCCCGTCAACTGCCGGAATTGACACGGCCGACCGACTGCCGCTGTCTGCTTCACGCTCGGGAGCTCGGCCCCGATGATGGTAGGGTGTCACGCTCGGTGGGGGTCCGGAGTTCGGCGCCGTTGTCGACGCCCAGTGTAGCTGGTCGTGTATTGAAGAGATGGTGGGAGTAGATGATGGCGTTGGATATGGAGGTGGTGGTGAATGTGTCCTGCCCTCAACCCACCTTACTTTCCTCACTTCACCACACACTCACTTCAACTCACTCATTTCGCTCCATCTCACCTGACCCATGTGATCTCACCCCACCTTTCAACTCCTTTGGGGGAAGGGGTCAGGAACACCTTTCCCCTTCCCCAGCCCACCCCAGCCAGGCCCCCCGGGCCTGGCTGACCCTGTCCGACCGCACTTCCCGTCCGCCGGCCGTGCGCGAGGTTACGCCGGCGGTCTCGGCGTCTGCTATCCGCTCTCTGAACTGGGTCAGGGAGGCTCGCCGCTCGGCGATCAGCCGGTGGGCCGGTTCCTACCTGGTCACGGTCCCCGCGGCAGGTGCTGGCGTCATGGAATTCCGGTCGGCGCCGGGACTGGGTGACCAAGGTGACGGTGGGCTCCAGACTGACGGAAACGTTATGGTGAAACGAAATATGGTGGGGAATCGTGTGGAAATCGTTGTGGTGGAAACGAGCTATGGTGAGGAATCGTTGGGATGGGACGTGCTTTCGCAATGTGTTGGGCTTTCTTATGAGAACTGTCTGATCAAACATGCTTAGGGATGTGCGGTGCTCTTCGCAGTGTGTTGGGCTTTCTTATGAGAACTGTCTGATCAAACATGCTTACGCTTAGGGATGTGCGGTACCACAATGGGGTTTTCCTTGTTTGGGTCGCTACGGCCCAAGATTTCATCATCAATGTCAAGGCCTACAAACTTGACGCCGGTACGATCACCTCTCACTGCTCAGCTTTGCTGAGCCCTAACTTAACTGGTGCACTTGTTTGTCGGAGCTCCGGTCGAGCTGATGCACCCAGTATGCCACATTCCACACCTAACTGCCGCCCCCACCCGACTCCCCTGTGGGCGAGTGGCTGAGTCGGCGTCTGCCGGACCCCGTTTGGACCGGGCCGACTCAGCAGTACCGTCCTCTCCCCACCTGGTGACGTCACAGACTCTATGACGTCACTGTCTCGTCATGACTTCACATCGCGGCGCCCGCCCACGGAATGTCATAATGTGCAGTGTGGTTTGCAATATTGGCAGCGGGACAGCAGCTATGAGGTGGTCTGGAAATAGATGGCCGGCCGGGCCGTGTTTTAGCTGGCGTGTCGTTTCGAAGTCAATGGCGGCATGACGGATGGCGAGCAGCTGATTGGTTTACGGACTTAGGGCGGCTCCATGAGACATGGTTTATGTGTCCCGGATGAATGCACAAGTGTCTCCGAAAATCACCGTCGCTTTGTGGAGCGATGAATGGTTCTAGAAAGGCGTCGCTGCGAACTGCGCCGCTCTTGAGAAAATTGGCACCATTAGTTTTTACACGCTCCAGGTTTAATCTTACCATCATAACCTGGCCTGTTATGCTGTTCCAGCTAATGATGCGCCCACTGATTTCTCCCAGCGTCATATGGATCGGATCACGTGTTTTTATTCTCGGAGGGTGACGCAGTTCCGATAGGACCGGGGGCTGTGGTAGATGTCGCCGGCTGGCACAGCCGCTTCCTGTATCTCCTCAGCGAAGGCCTGCGAGCAGCTGCGGCTTCATGAAGGCGGGAGATCTGATATATCTGAAATAAAGCGCATTACTGAGATCCGTTTCCAGCCCGGTACCAGATTATTACTTTTTTGTATGACCTTAGCCTTGATTTTACCTCTGTGCGTTGTGTAATCTGTCGTCAATGTCAGGCATCGTCAGCGCCTGGCCCGTCACTGAGGCGGTGTGGCACGAATGCTGTAAAATAGGAGAATTTACTGGTCTGAAAGTAGTGTGGTATGTGAAATGCACGCACCGCTTTGCCGTTTTGACCGTCAATCTGTGCTAGTCGCGCAGGTGCGTGCTGCAGCCAAATAGCTAGAATATATGAACGCTTATTTACGCTCACAAATTAATGTAGTTATGGGTCCTATAATCGCCCTGTCACGCGACCCCCAGGCTGCCCGGTCAGTATCTACATATTCGGTCGGGCGGACCGGATACCAGCCTCTGTTACGGCAGCGACGCGTCACCAGTGACGCCGTGACGGCAGTAACGGGCCGTGCCGGGTCGCGTGGTACGGCCCTGCGGGTCGTGACGACCCGGTCCGCGTCACAGCCACTAACAGGAGTGACGGCTCCAGCGGCGATACGGCCCAGGGTGCCCAGACTCCAGAGCGTGCCCTAAAGCCCTTGTTACACTGCCGAATTTTGGTACACGAATGTGCACGAATATGCAAGTCATCCTATGTCGCGGATCGATTCGGGATCTTTCTTCCACGGTCTTGGCATTTCGCAGACCAGTCGTTGTCCACCGCGCGACTTTAACGGTTCGTCACGACCGCCACGAATATTTCATGAAAAATGAAAATTTCGTGGCCGTTCGCCGAACTTATAATAAACGAACATGATCGCCAAACAGTCGCCGAGTCGCCGCAGACATGTCGCTGCGTGCGCCGACTTGTTGCCAAGTAGGGCTGATAATCCCGGGACTTTTTGGCAATCCCGGGATCCCGGGATTTTAGAAATGCAATCCCGGGATATCCCGGGATCCCGGGATTGAGCAGTTTTTATTTTAACCTGTCTTCAAAGCAGAATTTTCTTGCAATATCGTATGTATATGGCGCATCCTTACCATCATAAACACAATACCAGGCATACACCTTCACCCCGAACAAATATAAGAGCATGAATGACATTGATCATTGTATTTCTTGTTTATATTTCGAGTCAGGATACAGTAGACGTGCCTACGGATTGTGGTCGTCTGACCAGCAGCATGTCCTGGTCACATTCACTTGTTACGGTAGTAGCACTTGAGGAAGCAAAGTGCATCAACGACTTCGTCGCCGAGACTCGACCGCACTTTTGTAACGATATTCCCGACAGTGGAAAACACTCGTTCCGATTCAACGCTCGTAGGAACTATGCCCTTCAGCCAGTTGTAGGACAGCGCTACCATGCCTGTCCTTCCTGAGATAGGTAAATTTTCCAATTCTTTCCTTATGGCCTTCGTCATCATCAGAGAAGATTGCGAAAAGTTAATCCCAGACGGGCATGAACTGGTGCCTTGCTCTGGAGCTCTAACCTCATCTAGAGCTTGTTGAAGCATCGACTGAAGAGACGGCGCTGATTCAGGATCATCAGCGTCCATCACTTCTGTATCTACACCTACTTCGGTATCATGCATCTGTTCTCCCAATCTTTCCATCATGTGGACAACTAAGTCCTGTGCTTCCTTGCGAGAGGCACTAGGAAAAATATCTTTCCAGTCTCTGTCTGCCGGCATTTTGTTATGGAGCGATTGTAGGACTTTAGCCGCACGTGACCGTCTCTGTCGGATGCGCTGTTTCAACGCATCAGACAGTTTACATGCAATCGCGCAGTCCTCCTTGTCAAGCGCGCTTAACATAAACTTTAGAGCAGCTTCAGCCTCCAATAGTCCACTTTCTCTCCTGCATAGCGCTTCTGCTCCGAGTTTCATGATTCTCAGGCAGCGAATGAGCGCAGGTATGGCGGCGTATTCATAATCATCGATCATTTTCATACGTTTGTCTCCTATGTCAATGAGTGCTTTGTGGACAGCTGCTTTGAGGTTATCAAATCGTTCTAGCATGTCATACAAACTATTCCATCGGGTTTTACAGTCTAGCACTAGCATCAGTTCCTGCCCACGCTCCTCTCTGACGTATTTCTGAAGGACTTCATTTCGTACGGGCGATTTTCTAAACCAGCGGACAATGTTTCTAATGCTTTTAACGACTGGAGAGAGCGAACTATGTAGTTCGTGGTGACCAGTAGCACCAGTAGTGTTTTCTTCCACGTTGTCGTCCTCATCCTCGTCATCACCGTCGGATTCATCTGACGAGTTCACCTGCAAGGCGACAATATCCTTACCTTATTAATCTATATAAGATGTACATATATTAAGGGGTCATCCTGCTGTGTTGGCTCCTCGGATTATTTGTAGATGAAGATTTACGACTCTTTATGCTTTAAGGAGAGTAATTGCGCGATGCGGATGAAACTGAGCTCGATGCTCTTAAGCCTTGTTCTCTGGGTGAAATGTTGTTTGTTCTTTGACTCTTATGAAGTGAAATCGCACAGTAAATGATACGAACTTTGGTGCACAATTTTCTACCATTTCGTCACTGTTATTCTATTTTCACGCTAGGTGCCTATATCAGATGTATGCATAATTGTATACTAAGCTCACCTGGTTAGGTCCACCACCACCACGGTCGTCATCTGCTTGTTCAGAGGTCTGCCCGGCGTCACCCGAGTACAGAGCGTCGACAACGGCGAGGTGAACACCGTGTGCGAAGCAGAGTTGGTGCTCACATGGCAGTGACTTCCCGAATTTCACCATCACCGAAGCTCCGTCGGTTGTGACGCAGGTGACGTGCTTACTGAGTTCAAGGCCAAATTCTGCCAGCTTGCCCTGCAGAAGATCCAGACATTTCTCTGCTGGCATCGATCCGTGACAACGCGCGACACCGAGACCCCACATGTTACCTTCGCAGTGAACAGTCACGCTCATATAGCGACGGTTTTTCAGGGACGTATACTCGTCGATCGTAAGTGAGAACCGTTTGCCATTTGACAATTCTTCGGCCAGCTTCGCCTTCACGTCACACTTCAGGCGAGCACAGTGTTTGAGGACACGCCGGCGGATCGTGTTGTGATGGGTTGGAAGGTTTTTATATCCTTTAGCAGCCAAAAGTCCGCGTAGGTCCGGTGAGGTACAGAAAACTGTAAAAGGTATCCCATCTCTCGCGCACATTCTAGCTAGGATAGCATCCAGGTCGTCGTCCGTTTTGGAAACATAGTAGCAATCTAAGGTCTTCATTCCTTTTAGATGCGGTGCCGTGGTTTTAGCGCTCTCACCTTGACCTTCGCCGGACACGTTTTGCGGCGTCTCTCCGGATCGGGATGGTCCAGCAACACTCATACCACCATGCTTGCTCCTGAGGTGGACGTGAAGTCCTTTGGTGGAACCTCCAGATATTTTCAGTACCTTTTTACAAAGACGACACTTTGCTGTGTGGCCATCTTGACTTCTTAGATAATGTTCCCACACCGCACTGCCTTTAAATTCAGCAAAATCCGACATTTTGGCAAAGTTAGCTATAGCTTATCACAAAGGCACGTAATTAATAATTATTCACTAACGGTAACCATGCCCAGGGCGCCCGGCCAGCCTCATGGATCGTCCAGCCACGGGGCACTGACAGTAACTGAGCCACCAGACGGACTCCCACAGTCACACAGAGAAGACGGCCGACCTCCTCCCACTCGATGGACTCGAATTCGATAGTCGGCATAGTATGTCATCGTGCAAAATGATCTGTTAAACCGAGTACGCGAGGGACGTCGCGGGGAGCGAGAGATGAGCCGAGAGAGAGCTCGTCTCTCGCCACATTGTGGAGGCTGAGACGGTGTGAAACAATGTCAATTAGGTATATATGTAACCAATACTTGTGCATAACGACTTTGCACGGCGTAAGTAAGATCTTTGGACATAAAACTGCACTGTAATGCGTTGTTACTCACTTACCTTTTTTTACATACCTACTATCAGCTACACTTTATGAACGATGTTTCTGTACGGAAAATATCGGGATCCCGAAATCCCGATGCTTCTAATCCCGGGATTCGGGATTAATACAATCCCGGGATCCCGGGATCCCGATCCCGGGATTATCAGCCCTATTGCCAAGGTATCGCCGACTATTCGCAACAGATTCGCCATTCATTCGCGATGTTCGCCGAATCATGGATCAGCTTCGACCTGCGCACGATTAGGGGGGCCCCCCACCCGTTTTCTTCAAATCGGGCTCTGTCGGCGAACTGTTCGTCTCTGTCGGTGAACTGTTCGCTGATTTCCTGCACGACGTGATTCGGCGACAGGGTCGTGGCCAAAATTCGGCAGTGTAACACGGCCTTAAGCCGTTCATTTCCGAATGCAGTTGTTCGCTCTCATCGGCTGGGTTCTTGAGAACTTGCCTGACACGGCGAGACACCGAAACGACCGCCACTGAACGTTGTTGGTTGTTAGACGTGGGCTTTGCCAGCTGTGGCTAAACTTAACCCGTTATTGTCCTGTGTCCAAGGGAACTTCGTTGATTGCTTCTCAGGTGGCTATTAGAAGCGACAGTGTGGGACCAGGGACGTGGTCTACGTTTGACTGTAGATACCCGATAGCGCGTTATGTATAATTGGTGACCGAGGCTGATGCGTGGGTTCATGGAGTCATTTCCATGTTCATTGTGTAGTCGTTCTAATTGGAGATTTGGGCGTTTGTCATGGATTTGCCAATATTTGCCGACTTCGGTCCGTCCAGGCGACTGGTAAATGGAAGCAGTCACGGATCATCCTTTGTGCAAACTACGGCGAGCGCCCGCTGTTTGCCTTGTATCGCGGCTAATGGGAAGTTCCGGTGCGCGGGGGCCGTCCGGATGCAGTCAAGATAGGCTGCATTGGGCCCGCTCGATGCCGGCCGCCCATTTATACCTGACTGCTAATATCGAGCCGGATCCGGCGGTGAAGTGGCAGGGTATAACAGATGACGCCCGGACGGCGTGGGTGACGAGCTGTGAGCTGTGATGTCACAGCTTTTACCGTCGATCCCTACAAACTGTGTCCGTCCACCCTTTGCCGTGTGGCTTCGAACAGGTAGAGGTTTTTACGGCCTGATTTGGACGTTGTCCTCGAACTGAGTTGATGTCCGCGCTGATTAACGTCAGCCGCGCCGTTAGCTGCTTGTTGAGCGGCGATCGGCTGTGACTGGACTGTGGCTGAAGCCCAGCTTTCTTTGGTGGACGATGGTGCTGGCGCTGACTGTGGCTGGGCTCTGGCTCACCTCTCGACACTGACTAATGTCGCCAGTCTCTCGGCGCATCCCGCCGGCACTAGGGACGCTCCTGGCCCGCCGTGGCTCTGTCTGTGGCTAAGGCCCACCGCTCCCAGTTGCCTGGTGTCCCCGTACTCCTGGCTCTCTCGCTGGCGCTGGGGACGCTCCTGTCGGCCGTAGCGCCGCCGCCGTCTCACATCCGGTTCGGTGGCGGCTCGCCAAACCCAAGGCCGCACGGGAAACTGGAGCGGCCGATGGGTGGCACGGCGGGCGCCGGGCCGCGGTACCGCCGCGGTCTCCGGTTCCAAACTGTCGCCGCCCGGTGCTACTGCGCCAGTCGCCGGCCGCTGGCTGTCCTGCTCGTCCGATGGTCTTTGAATAGGCCATAGGGTGCATTTGTACAGTCCTCAGCAGACTGCGTGGTAGGTATTCTTTTTTCGACAAAACCGATAATTACTCAAAGGCTATGTTATCAGTCGGTCGGAACTCACTGCAAATAGATGCGCCATGCTCCACGCCTTCGATTTGGTCTATCACTAAACAAAGTATACGCCTTGTCTGGTAACAAAATGCAAAAGTTTGTTTTGAGGGCAAATATTAACTTTTGGGTTTTGTCGCCAAACTGGATGGAACATGAATACGATGATAATGCCAATCTAAGCTGCGGAGTCTCGCGCATCTTGCTGTTACGATTTCCGAGTGACCGATAGCATAGTATTCGCGTTATTCTCGGTTTTGTCCAAAAAAGAATACCTACCACGCAGTTTGCAGAGGGCTGTACCTGGAACTGGGTGACTCGAGCAGTCATAGCTACCGTCGTCAGCCTAACGCGGGGCGATCAGTCGCGACAAGATCCAACCCTAACCTGTGTGACTTTTCTCACATGGGAAGTCGCAAGCTGATGAGCCCCACCCGCCCACTACATGCTGCCACGGTGGCACGGATAGGCTACAACACGGGCGGGGTCTCCTGTCCCAAACGCAATCCCTTTGTTATCCGCGGCTGCCGTGTCACGTTACTGACGTCATTTGTCCGGTATCGCCCAATATGACGTCATTACACCGGTGTAACTCGCCGGTAGAGGTGTGGAGAACGGAGCGGGCTGGTGATGGCAGTCCTGGCTCGGCGTTAATATCCGGTTGGCCTCTCTTATATAGAACATTATATGTCTTGACACTGCCTATTGCTGGTCGTATTTGAGGCGCAAATGGCGAAACATCCCGCGTAATCCTCTTGGCTTCGTTTTATTTTATGGGCTCCACGCTGCACTGGGCTGATGCTGGACAGTTGGCATGGTAGGTTGTCTTGCATTGAATCGGATCCTAGTCGGATCCGGATCCTAGTCGGTAGGTGTTATCACCATGGTATGTGTTATGTTATGTATTATGTTATGTGTGTGTGTTATGTGTGGTGGCGATGAATAGGGTAGATCTGATAAACTGATGACTGTAGTTCCGATTGGTATCATTTCATCATACGCCGCTACGAAGGTGGTCACTGAAGCTATATATTGCTTACGTAACGACTGTGACCCGTATTTCCTCTGTGAATTTCGCCGTGCCTCCGCTGGGTCTCCTTCCCCGTCAGTCGAGACGGTGGCCATTTATTCCACCTTGTTGGTGTGTGGGAGGCGGCTCGTTTTGGCTCGCTCCGGCGCGGTGCCGCTGGAACTGGCTCCAACTGACTGATGTGAGGCGCGGTCTAGCAGCACCGCTGTAGGAAACTCGTCCCATCGCGCCGCCCTAAATGACCGCACCGTCGGCCCCGCGGGAAAGGTGAACAGATTGCACAGCGTGCAGAACGAATGAGCTCATCGGAACCGCTTCCGCAGCCAGGCACTGGCAAAGCGATGGATGGCAATTTACCGGCACCCGACGAATAACTTGCGAGACTTGCTTCACTGCTCAGCGTTCTGATTTGGTCGCTGCCCTTCTTTGTTCTTTTTTTTTCTCTGAATCGCTCGCGACACGCGATGTCAAAACAAGCCGTGGGTTTAATTTCAGCATCTGCTTATTACGCCGTGGTGTATTCTGGCCGTGTTCTGACACGCTGACGGTCGTCGCGTGCCGGCAGTGTCGCTCGCTAATGAGAACCCGGCTCGGTAAAGACCACGACTCGGTGTCCTTGGCGCAGGGTGTGGTCAGTCGGCTCGCTGCAACTCGGTTCGATGGTATCACCCGTCCATCTGCGCCCAGGTGGTTAGTACACCGCGCTGGGTGCACAGTTTAACACTACACACACCGCCGGCGCCGTGCTCGACTCGAGGAACTGACCTGGGGCGGACGCCGCTCGCGCTCGACGCTCGCCGCCACTGCTGCTGCGGTCTGCGTGACCTCCATTCGGGTCTGGTGTGAAACGGGGTTAATGAAGACAGCCATTTCTGGGCGTTCGCCTGCAGCCCACGCCCATCTGAAAACGCATTTTTTATGGATGATTTATGCTAGTGACCAAGGTGAACCTGAGCGAATCTCTCTGCTATAAAGTCGTCAGCCCTGGGAGGTTTAGCTTGTTTGCAGTCATCCAAGGCTCATTTCGGATTTGCCGACGTTTCGCTGACTCAATCCGTGTTTCGGCGCTCCCCATCTCGCTAGCTCTCTCTCGCTGGGCGCTGTTTTAGTGCGCAGCTCTGGCCCACCCTCCAGTGGCCATGCTGTTTTACACGACACGTGCTGTAACCCGAGCGGTACTCCCATGTTCTGGTGCACGCTGGAACCGAGGTCGATCACTGACCGGACGTTCTGAGCCGTGCTCGGCCGTGCTCAGGCCGTACTCCACCGTGCCAGGTGTCCGTCTTACTGCCCGACTCAGCACGTGCCCCGGGGCGGGTTCACGGTGCCGAGATGACGTCCGGCACACGCGGCCAGCTGGCACACCTGTCTCGGTGCGGCCCGTGCACGCTGACCTGCCGAGTCGACCCACCACGGGCCAGGCTGGCGGCGGCGTCCAGTTTCGAGAGGTTCTGGCAGGAGACAGCGGCGCAGCTGGCCCGTCGACCGGCCAGCGCAGTGGGAGAGGGGTCACCTGACCGGCCCGGTCGACGCCGTGCCGCAACTTGAGCGCTCTGTGGCGTAGGCGCGACGGCAGTCTGGCACGCGGTCAAACAGCGCGACGGCTCGCCGACGGCCGGTGCAGCGGCGCAGGTGGTCGCCGGTCACGTGGCAGGTGCCCCGTGTTTTGGCAGCGATGGAAACTCGGGATGGGAGTGGTTCGCGTCATGTTTCGGCATTGACGTCTCGTGATTTGTCGTGGCTTAGATTCAGACGTCTGCGATGATGTTATAGGGTGAACTAACTTGGTAATAGATACGTGTTTCAGGCGATATTTTCTCGATCTGACTGACCTATTTATCATTCATCTTTCGTGATTCGCTCTTTGCTGGAAATGTGACGCTAATACCGTCTAACACCTGCAGATAACCGGCACCCCACGCCAGGCGCGCGCCCCGTCAGACGCGTTCGATGCCTGCCGTATTTCTGGTGCGTTTTTCGGCCGGTGGCTGTTGGTTTTCGTCAGCGGTGCCGCCACAGCGACACGACTGGCTGGCACGGCTGGAGCCATCAAACGCTCCGTCTCCGCCCCCGCCCCGCCCCCGCTGGTCGGCCTGGCTCGTGCCGCTGCCCAGGCGGTAGGGATACCCACGCTGCAGTGCGTTTGACGTCAGTGACGGCCTTTCGCTCTCCGTGTGACGCCGGTATCGGTGCCGACATTCGACGATGTTTGGACCCCGGGGATGCCGCGCGAACGCCGGCCGCGGCCGGAGAGTCGGCATGTGATGGACATTTTAATCACTTCCGAGGCGCCGAGTCCAAACAAACTGTCCGCGCTGGCTGTCGGACCGGACGGCCCGTCG